ATAGAGATAAAAATATGGCACTGTGGTGACATTGCACCACAACATCACCCCAGTAAGTCAACTCCACAACATTGTTGGCTGGAGTTGATGGGGGATGTAGTCCAAAACATCTGGACAGCACCAAGTTGGGGAAGGCTGGTGTATGTGTTCATGGGGAAAACACCCTGGCCTATCTAGCAAGCTAAATTAATCATATTTCAAGTATGCTGAGGAGCAGGAGAGGTGAAGGAAATCAGATTAGTCAGGAAACACTTTATAAAATCTAATCATGTTTTATTGAATGAAACAAAGCAGGAAAGGTCAAAGGGTCTCTGCACTGTAATGTGTTGTGAATTCTTTTTCTTAACTGCCTTGCTGCAGAAGGGGAGCAAAGACAGCCAGAGGGAAGGGGGATGGGAAAAGAACCCGCGGCCCAACTGTAGAAGTGTAATGCACCCTCCAGCCACACCAGAATGAAAAAGGGAAGGCCATGCTAAGACTTTAATAAGCAGGATTGTGGCTTCTCTCCAAGACAGCTCTCTGGAAGGGCAGCTCCTGCCAACAAACTGGATTTCAAGCTTCAGAATGAATGCAAGTTTGATGGTGCACATGAGGATTCAACAGTAATGGAACATGCAGCACCCCATCCATGACACCCTGGGCTCCTCCACCTGCAACCCAGTGTGGCACGATGCAGAATTCAAAAACAATGTGCAAAAGTCAGGCTTCTGGGGTGTTACATTAAGCTCTGGAGGGGGTTGTAAAAGAAATCCAATATACCCTAAATCAATCACTCAGTCAGTCAGTCAATCAATCAATCAATCAATCAAGTGGTGGAGTGAGCTTCACCCTAGGCGGAAGGTGGAAGCTAGCAAGATCTGTTGATGCACAGAGAAACAGCCACAGCCTCCAGCAAACAAAGGTGGATCCTGCAAGTTTCATAAGGCTTCAGGTGAGACATAGGAACCATGTGTGACTGGCAATTAGCAAAAGAGGCAGACAGACAGAGGACAGCCAAGGAGCCATCCCCAAAGGCTCCATTATAATAGATGGGAAAACCAGGGGCAACCCACCTATGATACAGGGTGAAGCAGTCTGTTTCAGGAAACACCTGGGCAGATGGCTAAGTCCAGTCGAATTTGACTATGGGGTGCGGCACTCATATCCGCTTTCAGGCTGAGGGAGCCGGTGTTTGTCCACAGTCAGTTTTTCCGGGTCATGTGGCCAACATGACTAAACTGCTTCTGGTGCAACAGCACACCATGGCAGAAGCCAGAGCACAGGAAAACGCCATTGGGAACACAGGTGGCACTGTGGTTTAAACCACCAAGCCTCTGGGGCTTGCAGATTACAAGGTCAAGAGTTTGAATCTGCAAGACAGGGTGAGCTCCCATTGCTCTGCCCCAGCTCCTGCCAACCTAGCAGTTCAAAAACATACCAGTGCAAGTAGATAAATAGGTACCACAGGAAACACCACTGTGGGGGGAGGGGGAAGATGAAGGCAGGAATTGATGACTGAATGGTACAACAAGTATTTTCACAAGTGGTCCTTGCAAAGTCATGTACAACAAAATGCCTTAGGGTGGCATTGGAAAGAACCAAGAGGAGGAATCAGGTGATAGCAGACATTATTTCCTTCATCTGAGGCCTTTGATTCCAGGTAGACTACATCAACATCACATTTCCTGACACGTCAGAAATGCCCTTTCCAGTGAAAGACATTGGAGAGAGAAGCATTGGAGATAAAATCTTTTGCCATGGCTAACCAGAATCTGCCTCCAGCAATTGCCTCTCATCTTGAGACTTTTACTCTAAAATACAGTGCAATAATAATGTGGGTGTCTCTGAGCATGTTTAGTAAAGGGATCCCTGACCGTTAGGTCCAGTCATGGACGACTCTGGGGTTGTGGCACTCATCTTGCTTTACTCGCTGAGGGAGCCGGGTCATGTGGCCAGCATGACTAAGCCGCTTCTGGCAAACCACAGCAGCACACGGAACCACCGTTTACCTTCCCGCCAGAGCGGTACCTATTTATCTACTTGCACTTTGACATGTTTTTGAACTGCTAGACTGGCAGGAGCAGGGACTGAGGAACAGAAGCTCACCCTGTCGCAGCCTTCTGATCAGAAAGCCCTAGGCTCTGTGGTTTAGACCACAGTGCCACCTGGGTCCCTTTAGAGGGCACCCATTCTTGAATAACCAAATTCATCTCTCTCCCCTCCCTCACCCACCCCAATATGGTTTCTAGGCAAAACTGATTCCTGGTACTGATTCCTGGTTTCCAGGGTTGCTGTCTATATACTGTAGCATATACACAGAGTGTCTAGTGTATGCACATTTAGTAAGACAAGTCCCTCAGTGCCAGAGGCAAGGCTTTCTGATGGCACTGTCGATGAACTCAAGTTGTTAAAACAGCGGACAGTGAAGCAAAACATGGAAAGGGAGCTTGGTCAGCTGTTTCCCATCAGGCAGTATTCAGCTCACTGACTTGCAATTTGCTATTGTAATGTCAATCGGAAGAACACAGTTCTGAAACCTACTGAAGGGGCTAGAGGCACCTAAAGGCAGCCTTTGTGCACACCCTTGGGAGGAGGAAAAGGAAGATGGAGTGAGTAGCTAATAGCATCTTCAAAGCCACTTACATGCCCAGAGACCCTCCAGAGACTCCCATTCAGAGCTCCTTTGCAAACCTTGCTGGAGATGGTTCCTTGCACAAAATTCTGACCCTTCCATGTGCAACAAACTTCACCAAAGAAGAGATTAAAAAAGAGTGGCAGTTTCATGTCATAATATTACTAGAGACAGGCAATTGTCCAGTCCATATAATTTTTGCTTATGTTGGGTTTTCTTCACGCTTGATCCAGATGGAGTGAGGTCTTGTCAGCATAAAACACCTGTGCTCAGAGATCTGTGGTTTGCAGATTTGCTGCTGGGCGAGGTTCAAGGTGTTACTATTAGTATAGAAAGCCCTTAACATATTGGGACCAGTTTACAGTGGTACCTCAGGTTAAGTACTTAATTCGTTCTGGAGGTCCATTCTTAACCTGAAACTGTTCTTAACCTGAAGCACCACTTTAGCTAATGGGGCCTCCTGCTGCCGCCGCACTGCCAGAACACGATTTCTGTTCTCATCCTCAAGCAAAGTTCTTAACCCGAGGTACTATTTCTGGGTTAGCGGAGTCTGTAACCTGAAGCGTATGTAACCTGAAGTATATATAACCCGAGGTACCTCTGTACCTACGAGATTGCTTTATCCCAGATGTGCCTACACAACTGCTTCAAATACTACTACAGGTGCCACATGATACCCCTTCCACATTTGTAAGAACTTGGTCATTTAGTGTGGCTGCACCTACACTTTGGAACTCCCTGCTTATTGAGACCAAGCAGGCGCCTTCGGTGTACTGCTTTCAGACCTGCTCAAAACATTCCTGTATAGACAAGCCTACCCAGATGCTTAGAAAGTTGAGGTATTAATCCTTCTTTTAGTGTTTTAACTTAAGCAGACAACCTAAGCAGTGTGAGGTACCACCTATGTAATAATAATAATAATAATAATAATAATAATAATAATAATAATAATATCTTTATTGTCATTGCCCCCTTCGGGGACAATGAAATTACTTGACTGCTCCATAAAAACACTAATTAATCAATACAGTATAATACAGCAAGGGAGATTAGATGACTTTCAAAGTCCGGGCTTCCCATTCAGGGCCAAGATCGCTGTGGAGAAGAAGCTGTTCTTAAGACGGCTCGTTCTTGTCTCGGCTTGTAATAGCTTTATTCAGTTCTTAATCTAAGTAAAGTGTTCACAGTACTGGAAATGAAAGAAGGCAACCATGACTGGGATCAGACAACCCTGGGCAAACTAAGCTCTTTCTCAGATCACAACTCTTACCTGGGAACAGAACAAATTTCAAAAGAGCACAGGCAAGGCTATGGGAGCCAGGGAAATAATTACTAGCTTTAGGATCTAGTTTTGCACTTTTATTTTAAAGATACATCATACATACTGAACTGACTTCCACACAGTTACGAGACGGTAATTAACATTCAAGCAGCAACAGAGAGAAAACCTCTGTGTTTAAAGAAAAGGTTCTAACAACTGATTCACACAGCGCCATTTGGGATAGAGACCAAGAACTGATCACGTGGATAGGGTCAGCCTACAACTCGCTTTCCAGCACTTTTTGGTGAGAGCTGTCAGACTCTCAAATCAAAGTCTGGGCAAGTATTTGGGATGGAAAGACCAGAGGCAAGGATGCCTGTGCAGAGGAATAGTAACCCATTGTCCAAGCTACAGAAGTGCAGCAGGTCAGGATAGCAATACAAGTCCCACAGTCTTCTCAGCTCTAGCCTCGCAGTAGCTGACAAAAACTATACAGCAAGACCTTCGGTTGGGGATAGGCAATGTGTTGTTGGACTCCATTTTCCATCAACCCCAGGTCCAATGGTCACAGATATTGTAAAATACCATATGGAGGACACCAGCTAGGCTCTCCCTGGTCAAGGCACTTGAATATGATGCCACATGTGGATCTTGCAGAAACCCTTTAGTTTCACAGATGCTCTTTATTTCTGAGAACACGTTGTACAAATTGTTTTCAGTGTTTGTGCTTTTTAAATCAACATCATGATCAGATGCCCTGATCAGATAGTAACTTATTCTGCTTGCTCATGGAAGGGTTGTTTTGCACCTCACACTAGAAAGTCATGCAAGGTGTTCTTCCATTTGCACAACCTCACACACAAAACTGAAGTGGAACACATCTATTACAGAGTGACACAGACTCTTTTGCAATGTTCTTTGGGCCCAACCCTCTGAAAGGATTTCTGTTAGAATGACTTTGGTTATAATCTACTAGTTCACAAATCAATACTGCTTACCAGAATGGGAGCACAGGAAGCCACCTGAGAGCATTCAGGGTGTGATCGATCATTGGTCCACCTAGCTCAGTACTGCTTACACTGACTGGCAGCAGCTCTTCAAAGTTTCAGGCAGGGGATATTCCCAGCCCTACCCAGGGACACCAGGGATTGAACCTGGGACATTCTGCATTTAAAACAGCTGCTCTACCATTTAGCTTCCCGTAAGGATCACTTTGTAAGTTCTTCCCTTTTCTTTGCAAAGTACATTTCAAAGCTGGTCTCCAATTTTATCTTCCAACTATATGTCCTTAAACAGTACTAAAATCAAAAGCTGTTCATCATCATTACAGAAGACACTGTTCAGTGGCAAAGCAATAATTAACTATGATGAGGAAGCTGTTCATATTCTGGGGACAGAACAGTTGTAAAAATGTGTCATTTAACCACCAGAGCCTCTTTCCCTACACTCCCCCTGAAAGCTAAATGTTTAATGACAATTGGCCAAAAGTTATAAAAATCAATTAAATGATATTACACTTTTAACTTCCATATTCATCATTGCAATATCTAAGAACACTTGCCTTAAGAAACTGCAAGCTATTGCAGTTTGGTTTTATGGCTTGCATTGACAGCATTTTGATGGAGAGGCTATCAATTAATGAATAACCCAACCTTATTTCAAGTGCCTGAAATTATTCCAGGTTAAATTCACCTCCAAGGAAAAAGCCAAAGCAAAATATCTCCATGCTTGCAGTTCATGGCAAATTCAGATATCTTGTTAGATTAAACTTTTGATATCTGAGCACACTTGGCCCCAAGGGTTAAAGTCTAAATCATGTATTGGACTCCAGATTTTATTTGATGGATAAGGTGAGGAGAGATGATCTATTGAGAAACCAGCATTAGGATGAAGCAATAAAGAGCAGCTCTCAGATGCTAGAGAGCTGGTTACAGCAACTGGCCAGTCTAGGTACTACAGGACCAGGGAGAGCTCCCAGGGACAATAGCATTGTTCTATAATCCATTTCAATCTATATGCCTCAGTGATGGCCTACCGTGGCCCAACTACCAAAATTTCTAAATACAGAAAACTGTATTTAGGGAAGAGATGCAAATGAACTAAGGAAGCCAAAACTGCAGCAAACTGCACATACTTCAATGCTGGAATTAATTCTAGAAATTCTCCTAATTATATCAGAATTCAGAATAAGAAGAATGCTGGCCAGAGAAACTCATATGGGGCATTATAGGCTATATCTCTTAAATCCTAATAAGAGACATTTAGCCTGAGTAAGGATGTACCTAAGTAAGGATGCACGGCGTTTCCATTCGCTGCTCTGGTTTGCCAAAAGCGGCTTAGTCATGCTGGCCACATGACCCAGAAGCTGTACACCGGCTCCCTTGGCCAGTAAAGCGAGATGAGTTCAGCAACCCCAGAGTCGTCCGTGACTGGACCTAACAGTCAGGGGCCCCTTTACCTTCACCTTTAAGGATGTTCAAGGATTTTCTCAACTCACAAGTATATCAAAATACGTTTTAAAATGCATAAATTTTAATATGAATTTTCAAGCAGGTTCTTTTTTTATGGCAAACTTCTTGCAGATGCAAGAAAGAACCAACTAATCAGGGAACACATGAAAATTCTGCAGACCAGAATACATTTGACCTGAGCATCCTTCTGTGCTGAGCAGTGCAGTGCAACAGTGAAAACAACTTGAAGACTTGCTCTCCTTAATATTATGAAGCCTCCTGCAACCTGTCTTGCTTCACCTGTGTCTCACCCCATGCCCAGCTTGACAATAATTTGGTCTAAACCAACAAGAAATCTAGGAGAGGTGAATGTTGATGATGCCTGTTTATATCTCTGTGTTCTGGTGATGGCTGAGAAGTGGAAACAATAGCTTTCGAAAACGAGAGGGTCAATATGGCAGAAAATATATATGGTATTTTTGTTTTCTATTCTTCTATAAAGCCTGTTCACCCGTTCCCTACAAGAGAAAACACAATTAGGGAAGGCCCACTGAACTAGAATATGTTGCCAACATTTCCCTACCAGGCGAGAAAACCCAGAACTGTCATTTCTAATTGGCTAGAAGGCTTTTCATTCCCCCTCACTGCTTCTCTCCTACTTTTATTCCATCTCCATTACAGCTTCATTTCACACTTTTCAGGAAAACAGGAGGGCCCAAGATCTCACCAGAAACAGTGCAATTGCCATTAAAGGGGCTGTAAAAAGTGTTGTTTCATGAGCTGTGTGAAGTGTCGTTTCATTGTTAGGTGATCCGCATGTGGTGAACCACTCCTGGATTGCCTGTTTCACACCCACCTGGTAACATGATATCCATGTGAGCCTGAGGCAGGTAAGAGCCAAAAGCCAGGAGGTCAAATGCAGGAAGCAAACAAATGCCCTAGCACACGTCAAGCTCAGAAAGAAGTTTAGCAAAATCCTGCTTTCTCGCAACTGAAGCAATGGCTGCATGACACATCTATGGCATTCTCATTTCATCTGCAGAAGAACAACAAAGCTGTCCTGATGTATAGAGAAACTCACTCTGGAGTAGAGCCGAGGAACAAAATTTGCAACAAGGCTCAAAAGCTCACTCTTGGGATTAAATCTAATGCAGGTCAAACTATCATCCTTTTTATTAAAGGATTGCTGCTCTACTTTCTCCACTTGCAAACCCTACCTTGCCAACCACTCTTCCTACACACCTAAGCAAACCTTCTCACTTTCCACTTCATCCACCCCCTTGCCTATACCCACAAGCTCACCACCTGCCCCCTGCCCTCCCAGCTCATCCCTACCCCATTTTAATGGAATTGGAGAGGTGCTTTGTACAGCAGCTTGCTAAACTGCTACGTGAAGTGCCTCCCCCTTCATTAAACCTCACTGCAGGTGTGAGGCCACCTACTGGCAGCCACACTAACTGCAGCATGGTGACAGTCTGATATTTTTATGCATATACGGGAGAAATCGATTTGTGCCTTTGACATGCATTTATTTACTTGCTTATATATCACTTAAGGACGTTTTAGTGGGAAGTGATACATAAATTTAATGAACCTAAACTTAGCAACAACTATGACTATGACTGCTCCTTAATATTTGTTGCTGCTAGTAGTTAACATTTGTATCGTGTTTTAGCGTTCTAACTTTTTCACGTTATCTGGTCCTAATTCTAACAACAATCCTGTAAGGCAAGTCACTATTATTATCCTCAGTTTTAGTGGATGGGAAAGAACGAAGCAGAGAGAGAGAGGCTTGTCTACTGAGTTCATGGTAGAAGTGATATTCAGACAAGACGGCACCTGGTTCATAGCTCAGTCTCTTAGCACTTGGTATGTAGAACCAGACCGCTGGCATGTATAGGTTATCCTGAGACATAATTGTATACAGACATAAACAGAGGGGGCAGCAATTACTCCTCCAAAATGGCACCCCAATTTTGTGTTAGGAACAGCCACAATACACTGTTATTATGTATCGAGACCATTTCTCCCTCACACCATCCCAGGCATTAGGAGTGAATATCTTAAGCCTGGCTGAATAAATTTTAAACTGGTTAATTTCTTTAAAAAGGTAACTTTCTAGTCTTAAGCCAGAAACAGGTTTTTTATATAGAAACAAGAGGGAAGAAATAGTTGACTAATGACTTAGCAGGGTACATGATTTAGTCACTACTAATCTGCTAGTAGCAGCCTTGAAAACAACAACAACAACACTAATTTCTCTATATAAATGGGAAATGTAGAAGCTGTAAGACTTGCCTGCAAGTGCCCATTTTTCTTCCAAACCTTGGTTCCCAAATCTAGAAGGCAAGTATTGATGTGATGCCCTGCTCTGTCAGTTGTGAGTCCTGACACAAAAGTGAGTTAAGGCAAGACTTTTTTGTGTGTGATGGAGTCTCATTAGGCAAGCCCTTCTTTTTGAGGGAGGGGGTTATTCTGGCTGTGAATTCTGAAAGATTTAAGTTAGCTGGGATCTCAGACTTGGAACTTTGGCCATGAAGCCCAGGCACATTGGTTTTTTCTACCAGAAGGAAATTGGCAGCTGGAGGGCCTTGCTTGATCACCACTGGACTGTCACATAAGGAGACTACTAAAGCAGCTCATGCCTTTGGAAAGATGAGGAGGGGCAGAGACAAAACACATCCCACCTGGCACTGTAAAATTGTCCTAGCTCGAGAATGAGCTACTAGCACGCTGCCAATTCTTTCTTGTTGTCTCCAGGCTTAAAAACTTCTGTCGAGCTGTTTTGCGTACAGATGCTTCCTCCTCTTTCTGGGAAAGAGTGACAAGCGGGATGCCGCAGGGTTTTTTCCAGGACTCAATGTTGTTCAACATCTTTATAAATGACTTGGATGCAGGATGACACCAACCAGGGAGAGGTAGCTAATGCTGCAGAAGGCAGAATTGGGATTCAAGACTGAAGAACTGGGCCAAAACTAACAAAACAAATTCCATTAGGAACAAATGTAAGGTTCTCAACTTGTGCAGGAAAAATATGACTTGACAACAATGCATGCGGAAAGAATATGGGGTTTTTAAGAGACCACAAGTTTAGCATGAGTCAACTGTATGAAGCAGCAGAAGAAAAAAGGCTAATGCCACTCTAGGCTGCATCAACAGAAGTATAGTATCCTGATCAAGGGAAGTAATAGCACTGCTCCATTCTGCCTTGGTCAGACCACACCTGAAGTACTGTGTCCAGTTCTGGGCAACACATTTTAAGGATAATACTGGCAAGCTGGAACATGTACAGAGGAGGGTGACCAGGATGTTCAAGAGTCTGGAAACCAAGACTTATGAGGAATCATTGAGAGAGTTGGGTACATTTAGACTGGAGAAGAGAAGACTGAGAGGTGATATGCTATCCATCTTCAAATATCTGAAGGGCTGTCACATAGAAGATGGAGCAAGTTTGTTTTCTGCTGCTCCAGAATGTAGGACCCAAACAAATGGATTAAAATGACAGGAAAGGATATTCCGACAAAATTTTAGGAAGAACTTTCTGAGGGTAACAGCTGTTCCACGGTGGGACGGACAACCTCAGAGGGTGGAGGACTCATTTTTTAGAAGTTTTTAAATAGAGGTTGGGTGGCTATCAGTCAGGGATTTTTTTCAGTTGTGATTCCTCCAACCCTCCAATTCTTTGATTTTATGCTGCCTCCAGTTATGGTTGTGCCTCTTCCATCCTGAAGCATGGCACCACATCCAACACAAG